TAGAGGCAGTAACAGAGAAGATAAAACTCTAAAGGAAGAAAAGATAGATAAGTAGGGAAATATATTAAGCACGAGTGAACAAGGAAGGAACAGAAGATGTGCAGTCAGTAGATATAAGAATCCTGACCTTCAGATTTGGACAAAGAGTTTGTCTTTTATCAAAAGCTGAATCTGATGTATTTCAAGATTGTATTTCTGGTACAGGCTGTGGTAAAAAGGTTGACTTCTGAGGAACCTATTCTTCTCTAACAGACATCAGCTCTGTACTGATGCACACTTAGATTGTGCACAAGGATAGACATCAATTAAAGTGTGACAGTTTCTTCAGGTGAAAAATGAAAAGACGTATACAGTTGGAATGCAAAAATGTTAGTTAACTTACAAGATGGTGGTAGAACAGCAGTGTATTAAGCAATCCTTTTGAAAGAGCATCTTCCCATTTTTTGGCACAGAGATGAGGTGTGGAGAGACATGCTAATACATCTTGAGCCTGATCCTGTGTGTATTCAGTGTCTAACTCCCACTGAAGAGGTAGCCAAGTCTGATGAGATGGCTTACTCTGTGGGGTTTGTGTTATTTTGGAACATACATACATAAGAAAGTAAGAACGGCCATACTGGGACAGATCAATGGTCCATCTAGCCCCAGTATCCTGTCCAATGCCAGATGCTTCAGAGGGAATGAACAGAACAGGTATTCATCAAGTGATCCATCCCCTGTTGCCCATTCCCAGCTTCTAGCAAACAGAGACTAGGGACATTTCAGAGCTGGGTTTTGCATCCCTGCCCATCCTGGCTAATAGCCATTGTTGGACCTATCCTCCATGAACTTATTAGGTCTTTTTTGAACCCTGTTATAGTCTTGCCCTTCACAATATGCTCTGGCAAAGAGTTCCACAGATTGACTGTGCATTGGGTGCAGGAGTACTTTCTTATGTTTGTTTTAAACCTGCTGCTTATTTATTTCATTGAGTGACCCATGGTTCTTGAGTAATCTGAAGGCATGAATAACACTTCCTTATTTACTTTCTCCACACCAGTTATAATTTTATAGACCTTTATCATATCCTCCCTCAGTCATCTCTTTTTTTCCAAGCTGAAAACTCCCAGTCTTATTAATATCTCCTCATATGGAAGCTGTTCCATAACCCTAATAATTTTTGTTGCCCTTTTCTGCACCTTTTCCAATTCCAATATATCTTGTTTGAGATGGGGCAACCACATCAGCATGCAATATCAAGATGTGGGCGTACCATGGATTTATATAGAGGCAATATGATATTTTCTGTTTTATGATCTACCCGTTTCTTAATGATTCCCAACATTCTGTTCGCTTTTTTGACTGCCGCTGCACATTGAGTGGATGTATTCAGAGAACTATCCACAATGACTCCAAGGTCTATTTCTTGAGTGGTAACAGCTAATTTAGACCCCATCATTTTATATGTATGGTAGGGATTATGTTTTCCAATGTGCATTACTTTCAATTTATCAACATTGAATTTCATCTGCCATTTTGTTGCCCAGTCACCCAGTTTTGTGAGATCCCTTTGTAACTCTTCGGGGTCTGCTTTGGACTTAACTATCTTGAATAGTGTTGTATTATCTGCAAAAAGAACAGGAGTACTTGTGGCACCTTAGAGACTAACACATTTATTTGAGCATAAGCTTTCGTGGGCTACCGCCCACTTCATCAGATGCATAGAATGGAACATATAGTAAGAAGATATGTATACATACAGAGAACATGCAAAGGTGGAAGTTGCCATACCAACTCTTAAGATGCTAATTAATTAAGATGAGCTATTATCAGCAGGAGAAAAAAAAATTTTGTAGTGATAATCAAGATGGCCCATTCCAGACAGTTGACAAGAAGGTGTGAGGATACTTAACATGGGAAAATAGATTCAATTTGTGTAATGACCTAGCCACTCCCAGTCTCTATTGGAGTGGCTGGGTCATTACACAAATCGAATCTATTTCCTCATGTTAAGTATCCTCACACCTTCTTGTCATCTGTCTGGAATGGGCCATCTTGATTATCACTACAAAAAAAAATTTTCTCCTGCTGATAATAGCTCATCTTAATTAATTAGCCTCTTAGAGTTGGTATGACAACTTCCACCTTTTCATGTTCTCTGTATGTATATATATCTTTTTACTGTATGTTCCATTCTATGCATCTGATGAAGTGTGCTGTAGCCCACAAAAGCTTATGCTCAAATAAATTTGTTAGTCTCTAAGGTGCCAAAAGTACCCCTGTTCTTTTTGCGGATACAGACTAACACGGCTGCTACTCTGAAATTTGTATTGGCTGTCAATTTTGCCACCTCACTGTTTACCCCTTTTTCCAAATCATTTATGAATATGTTGAATAGGACTGGTCCCAGTACAGACCCCTGAGGGACACCACTATTTACCTCTCTCCATTCTGAAGACTGACCATTTATTCCTACCCTTTGTTTCCTATCTTTTAAACAGTTACTGATCCAGGAGAGGACTTTCCCTCTTATCCACAGCTTACTTTGCTTAAGAGCCTTTGGTGATGGACTTTGTCAAAGGCTTTCTGAAAATCTAAATACACTATATGCACTGGATCACCCTTGTCCACATGCTTGTTGACCCCCTCAAAGAATTCTAGTAATCTCCTCAAAGAGTTGTGGAAGTACCTTTTGTTAATAAACCTTACCTCAGGAGAGGAGGATTTATTTTGATTCTTTACTCCTACTGATATAAAATAATTTTAGCAAAAAAAATTCTACGACTGGTTCAGCTGCATCTTTGGTAACACTAGTAGGAGATCTCATGTACTCCAGCAGCTGCTAGCATTTTTACCACTGTGTCAGTTAAACCTGCTGTGAGCACAGATACTATATTCTTTTTGTATAAAAACTCCCCCTGACTTAAGTTGGAAGTACAAACATAGAATGGCTGCTCTGATCAGATTTAACTGACGTGGTGGTAAAAGCTCAGAAAGCTGCTGCAGCTTTATCTAGACTAGGGTTACCACTGGGATCATTTGATTGAAATTCTCTTGTGTTAGCAAGTCAATTTTTTTCGAAAAGGGGATGTCAACCACTTTCACTGCTATTGTAGACATTTTAAAAATGATGTTTATTGCAGCGATAGCCACCCTTTGCTAAAGCCCATATCTCAATTTTTGTAACAAACAAGCCACTATTTTTTAATCTGCCAACCACATCTTAGTATTGGGTAATACACTGAAAACCAGGTATGTTTTTATGAAAATGAACACAGTAGTGCTAAAGCTGGTTGCACTTAATAAAAATAAATGAAAGTTGAATCATAAAAGCTTTTGATTTATTTCCAATTAGCTTATTTTGTTCCAGAGACCTATTTAAATACTTTCGAAAACAGCAGTAAAGGAAACAGATTGGCTTTAATTAAATACTGATTTAGTCTGCCATTTTTAAAATTGAAATGACATCCATTTTATATTGGTTGAACACCTGTTAATTCAGTTAGTGCAGACTTGCCACCCTGGATTTCCCCCATAAGTACCCCATCACACATACTTTTTCTCTTTTGCCCTGTGCTCTCATGTGTTTGTGGAAATAATTCTGGATGGGAAGAAATCTCTATTTAAAATTTGCCTAAATGGCTCAGATACTTGATTCAGACCTGCCATGTCAAAGCAGGAGTCCCAATCCCAGATAGTTTTAGAGCCCATTCTACTAGAGCAAAGGTAACTTTCTACAGTTAGCCTTAAAAGACACATCTATTTCTAAGATGTTGTAAGGCTTCCATGTGGAGTTCTGTTCAGAGCCTTACTCAGTGTTATGCTCTCATTCATATTGCATGCTTGTTTGGGGAAATTTGTTATTCTCTGAACAATTAAGCACTCTTCAGCCACCCTCTGGAAATTGTTTCTGCTTGTTAATCACCCAAAAGTGGGAATTCACAGAAGTAATTCTGGAAGTAGAAGGGAAAGCTAACTACCACTAACTAAAGCTCTCTGAGAATGTTATTTCTACAGATCCATGCTTGTCACACTATGTCCTTGTTTCTTTGTAGTCCTGTGCTAGATTTCAAACAGCAGAATGGAAGTGGAAAAGTGTGGGCCATCGATAAGGTTGCCACCTCTAAGACGCAGACAAAACAGCCACTGGCTACAGCCCTACCAATGGCCACCCCATCACCAACAACAAAAAGAGTCCTAGTGCTGACTATAGCTAATTATTACTAAAATGTTTTAGAGACTCATTTAAAAACCAAACCAGTAACACAATATGTGTTATGTTATTTTATCACTTTTCTTACCTTATCCTAACATGGTACTGTGGTCCAGGCTACCAGGGTTGTCAGTTGTAGAGCACGCTAATGTAAGCCAAGTGAGAAAAATAAAAAAGGTATATTAATCTTTTCACCAGCAAGGCAGTACAAAACCCGACCAGGTGGCAACACTAGAAGTAGTCTTTTTATAGATGTTGCCTACTGTGCTTGAGTCTGTGGGTAGAATCGATGTCTGGTCACAGAGGATGCAGTATGGAGTCTTGTGGCATGTTACCTAGAGTATAGATCTGCAAAAGTGGTCGTATTGTGGTTATGGATGCCATATAAATACACAGATTAAACAGGAAAAATGCTTGGAGAAAACCAGTTACTAGTAAGTAGCTGTCCTTTTAAGTTATGGTTTATTATGAATAAATGGGCTTCTGATTAATGGAAACTGTATTTATATTAACTGTAATCAGTAAATAAGAAACCTCTTTCTAAGAAGCTGAAAAGTTGATTTTATATGGTTAAAGTTTCAAAAGTGCCTAAGCCCCATTTTCAAAAGTGATTCAGGCACTTAGCAAAATCTTACTATGTTCACATATATCATAGTATAGTAAAATTGTGTGTGTATATACAAAAGAAACTGTTATGTATTTAAACATGGCAATGTTTAATTCGGGCAGTTTAAAGCAGAGCATCTAGTGTTTAGACTAAACTGCCATAAAACTTATGCTTGCATTTTCTGTTTCCTACAAATTACAGGTGGGACACAGAGGTTACCTCGTACGATTGGTGTATCGCTAGCAAAAGAACTCATCTTCTCTGCACGTATTGTAGATGGCGAAGAAGCAAAATCAATAGGATTGATCAGTCATGTGGTGGAACAGAATGAATCAGGGGATGCAGCCTATAGAAGAGCTTTAGCCCTAGCACAAGAATTTTTACCTCAGGTACAACATAATGGAGTCGTATTTTGATTTTGTTTTGGGTGGGTTAGTTCACTGTAGTATAGTACAGTGGTTAAATAGTAAATATGCAAAGGAACCAGGTAAATCAAGAAGAAAATTACCATTATCTTGATTTATTGTCTGCACTGTTAAGGTTTGTGTTTCTATTTACTTTCAAATTAACATTGTAGATGATTTTTTTACCAAAGTAAAAAATTCTAGAGACTACAATATTACTATTAAAATAACATTGAAAATTTTGGGAAACAGTTGAGGATAGGAGAAAGACAAAAAGGTCAAGTTAAAATAGAGACCAGTCCTCTTCCTTACTATTCTAGCCATATGAAGTTTTCTTTTAATCCTTTAGTTCAGGGAGTCTGGATTTCTCAGTATGATTTGCCATAGTAAAATGTACAGATTCTCTGCATGTACAAAATCCATTAAGTGAACACTGTGACTATTTAAATCCTCATTCTTTTTCATAATTACATTTGTTACTAACATACCCTTGGAAATGTAACAGTGAAATTTATTTCCAAAATTAATGTCTTTTTCCATTTATGCAACATATTGTTTTTACTGGAATGTTCATTTGTTTGCTTTCTGGATGACATACACCAGCACAGGGATGTCATCATTCTCTTGCACTGCTCTAGGTTACGTGCCCTCTTTTCCTTTCACTTGATGTAACCGTAGCAGAGAGACCTGAAATATGACTACTTTCAGACAGCTATACTCCAAATATTCAACGTTGGAGAACTGCATATAAGTTAATTATGGGTTGCCTTACTTTAAACTTTCACTATTGGCTTCTCCTTGACTAGAGAACCTGCTGTCTGATTTTTCATGGCAATCAGTCAGGGAGCATGGTGGGGGAACTTTTCTGTACAGTGGAGAATTAATCTACAGGTCCTGTGCCCAGGGGCCCTGGCCAATTTGGGGGCACCTACAGGAGCACCGGAACCAGTGTAGAAGTGGGGGACCATTGGCGCTGGAACTATGGCCCCACCCCCTGCTCCGATTCTTCCCCCTGGGGATCCACCCCCTGCTCCTATTCTTCCCCCAAGGCCCAACCCCTGCCAAGGCAGAAGCTGGAGCTGGGCCATGGTAAGAGCCGCTCAAGGAGCCAAGGACACTGTGGGGAGCCCCAGACCCGCCACCTGCCCTAGGCGAGTCTTATCAGCTCCCCCACTCCCCCAAAGTGAAACCCTTGCCACCACCACTCAGCACCTGTCCGAGGCTACTATGCCCATGTTAAAAAGTGAGTGGGCATGGCCTCCCTGGATCCCTCCGCTTCCGGCGCCCCTGGGCCTCTGAGGTGTGGGGGGCCCAAATGTTCTTTGTGCCCAGGGCCTCAATAACTTTCCATCTCTATTTATGTAGCTGACCATTCTCTCTCACTCACAAGAAAGTGCACACATATCAGTGTTTCTGCTTGCCGCTCATCCAATAGTTGTTTTCTTCTGTACCATCAACCAAAACACCAATTTGTCATCCTCCCTCACCGTGGCATGCAAACGTGAGGGAACTAGACCGGTTTCCATCCCCAAAACACCAGAACTCTAGGAAGAAATCAGCATGACCTTCTGGAAAAAGCTGCAAGAGCCTTGGTGGTGATTGATTGTGACATGCCCCCTTTCTGCCATAGACATCAGTCTTCACCAACCTCCCTTCCCTCCCCCCCACCCCAGTATCCATGAGAAAACTGATCATGGCCTAATCTGTATCTTTCTTCTTCTTCCACAAAAGATGCCGCTTCTCCCCCTTGAGCTCAGTTGTCTGAGATTCTAGATGTTTTAATTTTTTAAATGAAAATATATATAATCATACACATATGTATTTTAAGTAAACAACAATGACTCCATTGGATCTCCCAGGTGTATCTTGTTTTTCTATATCTATCTTGTAGACCATAAATTCTTTGTGTTAGGAACTGTTCTGATATTTATTTGATACCTCATTGTCAGCACTTAACAAATTTATAATCTTTTGCTGTGCTTCACGGCCCTTGAGAAATGATCAGTCCTTGAGCACTGTAGCTTGAAACTGAGCTCACAACAGAAATGGAATATCTTCAGGGGAACATTTCAGGAGACTTTGCACACTGGCACTAGAGAAGATTTTTGGGGGAATCACCAGTGTGTCCAGAATATGATTCAGTTTTGGGGGAGCTGTTGATAAATCCTCTTCCCTGTTGAAAGCTCTGCAGGAAGATTAATCCCATCCAGGTCCTGGTCTATATTGAGTGTCATTTAAAATAAAATCCTCATTTACTTCACCACTTTATTTGGCTTTCCATAGTAACTTCAGAAATCCCTCTCTTAGGCTGGAAAATACTGCAAATTATACAGTAAATGTAACTAACGTTGAAAAGCACTATTGATTTTTGTTTTTAAAACCCTATTATCAAACAACATATGAAAAAATATACATTTTAAATGAAAGAAGGCCTGGATTATGATTTGTAGCCACAGATTCACACTGGAGACAGTGCAGAGGTTAACTGCTCTAATAGGAGCTCTGACGGCATTGTGCCTCATGCAGGTACAATTCTATATAACCATTGAAGAGGATGCATTAGCCTCTCCCCTCTGCATCCTACTAGCTCTTTTGGCCAATACATGTGTTTGTAGAACTAGTGCCTGTCGTGGCTCTAGCTATGCAAAGTACTTGCACCCCCCTGATGAAAGGATTCCTATCATTCCTGGCCCTTCTGTGGGAGACTGAGCTCCTTGCATTGTCTCCCTCCCTCTCTTGCACGGTTTGACAGAGGTCAACCATCTGACTTTTGCATCTTGGTTTTGCAGCTCATGCGTTTTAGCTTTGAGGCTAGCAGTGATTTATTCTTTTTTTGTTGAGGTGCTTCCATGTCTTTTTATTATACGCTTATTAGGACATAATATAATAGATCACATAGAGTCCTATAGTACCATCATTATTTGGTTACTTTGAACCTAATTTCCAAAGATGCTGAGCACCCGCAACTCAAGTTGAAGTCCATTGGAGCTGCTGGTGTTCAGCACCTCTAAAATGTAGGCTTTTTATGTTGTTTTGGTACCATGTCGTTTTTGAAAATTATATGCTGCTTTTAGTTTTTTTAGTTCTAGAAACATATATTTGGAAGAAAATGTGTATCATGGTCATATTACTTATTAAAAAGAACAGACAAAGCCTACAGAGTGCTAATATGATAGCATTCATATGTAGACACTTTGAACCACAATTTTGCTGTATCTGCTGACATGTAGATCTATCTGATTTATTTTTAATTTTAGGGACCTCTAGCAATAAGAGTCGCAAAATTGGCCATCAATCAAGGGATGGAGGTAAGGATATATATTTGTTGGTAACAGTGAGTGAAAGCCTGGAGGGCGGGGAACAGTTCCTAAAATAGAGGGTTAAAAGTTAATTAATGTTTTTTCTAGACTTGTTTTAAATTTCAAACCATATAGTCTTTCAAAACCTAGTTAGTTGAATCCAGTCTAAAGTAAACCAATGGTTCTTATTTTTGTGACTTCATATTGATTTCACCCTGCTCCTGCAGATATGGTTGATGCTGACGGGGCACTACAGTACCAAAACTTGCTATAACCGATACAATGTGCATGAGTTATTAATGTTAGAAAGTAAACATACAACTTGTTTAATAGTAGTTCATGTCAAAGGGTGGGGGGAAAGCTTTCCTAAATTCATGTACAGCATGCTGTAAAGACTATGGTTGTTTTAAAACCAAATTATATGAAAATCAATCCCATCATCAACAGGATAAAGGTTTGCCAGTAAAACTGAAGGCCAAAAAGGACATTGCTGCTTATAATAATTTAGTATAGAATAGAATAGTGTTAACATAATATTAAGAATCTGATTTAAATACAAAAAGACATGCCAAGTAGCCACTCCTGAGTGTTCTCTATTGATCGAGCTCTAGAGTTCATTAAGATCTGAGCAGACTCACACTTGTGCTTAACTTTAAGCCTCTGAGTCTCCTGCTGAACTCAATGGGACTACTCAGATACTTAAAGTTAAGCACGGGCATGAATCTTTGCAGCATCACAATTTAGAGCACAGTCTGGCCCAGAGAAGAGTGTGATCACAGGTCATTTGCAATGTAAAACCTCAATATAACAGGATAAGTTAGGGATGTATTCTGTTTCAGGTTTTTTGTTTGTTTGTTTTAAAGGTTGACATACAACTACTCAGACACCTGAGTTGAGTAGGGTTACAGTAATGATTAAAAGTAAAAGTACTTTTCTGAAGTAAAAGTACACAAAGGGTGTAAATTAAGCTCACAAATACAAATTAGTTTTTTAAGGGTATAAATCCAAGGTTGAATTCAGTGGTACACAAGGTAGAAACTTTTGTAGGAAAAATTCTAAGTTCCAGACACAGTAGGTAGGTGAGTCAAAATGACCTTGTTGACAAACCCCATGTGGTACACAAGGTCCCAGCTTTCAGAGGCTAGTAGAAAAACTGTCCACTGATGAAATAGATAGCACTTATGAAAAGCAGGTAGCTAAACAAAGAGGAAATAATGGAGGAGGAAAATAAGCCCTTTCAGCTGTTTTGGCCACCACACAAAGAAATCTCAGAGGGTCCCAGAGGAAGTCCAAGATCACAATTGGTTTCATCCTTATATGTGGGAGAAATATATATTTTCCTAATCATCAAGACAAATCCTTAAGAGATTCTGGCAGATCAAGCTCCTACAGATCAGTCTCTAGATAGGTCCTTAAGATGGTCTGGGTGGGTATTCAGTCTATTCATCATTGGCAGTCTTATTGCATCACCAAAGCTTTTGTTGATCATGTGATTGCTGGTTGTGTAATAGCATTTCTTGAGAAACACACTTTGTAATTCGTTGGACTTCCATACATATTTTAATATATATATATCAGTTAATTTATTACAAGATTTTGTTAAAATTGAAGTATATTTTAAATTGTACAACATTGGAATCATAATAGGTAAAATGCATGAATGTAAATGTATTTATTGTCAAGTTTATATATGCATATTATTGATAAAGCAAATAAAGGACATGTAAAAATTATACAATTTATATAGGTAAAATATACTAAGATTATGTAATAGAATAATGGAAGGACAAATAGTATATCACATCAGGAATATATGTACCTTATCAGTATATTACCGTATTTCACAAAAACATGTCTGAGTATATGATTTTTTTTTTTTCACTATGTACTATATATTGATGTATGAAAAGATCATGAATTTGACCCTTTTTAAGTGTTGAAATTGCAGTTGGGTCAAACATGTTTTCTCAAAACAATGGGTGAGCTTTATGAGCACTTCTGGAAGTGTTAGGGATATCTACTGTGATGCAGATGTAAGATAAAGTTCCATAATAAACATTGACATAAATAGCATCTGGCCTGCTTTTCAGGAAGTACAACTCTTTATACTGTATGGTGGTGAGTAACTTCTTCTTAGGTGCAATTAGTTTTTCAAATTAAGTATATCAACTTATTATTTGTATTTCAGTAGCCCTCTTCATATTCTAGGTGCTTTCCTTACATACTGAAAGACAGTCTCATCCTGGAAGATATCTGTTTCAAAACTTGTTTGTTAAAACATAATTAATGACTGATTCATATGCAGTCGAGGTTTCTGACCAGTAATAGCTGAAACAATTAAAATATTCAGCTAATTAATGGGTTTTGGCCAAAGACAATTTGTAGTAAGACAATACATTGTGCATTCACCTATTATTTCTGACAATCTATTGAATAGTGATTACATCACAGAATAGGGAAACTGATTACAGAAATACTGACCCACCCATAACCACAGGATAGTGAAGAATTTCTGCATAAAGATACTGTGAAGAGGGACTTTGCTGGACTGCTTTAATGATTGGGATATAGGAATACAGTATTTGAGTTAACTGTCAGAAAATAAAGTGTGTACTATCTACAGAAAGTTATTCACTCTTACAATATTTAATTTTTGTTTCCCAGGTGGATTTAGTAACAGGCTTAGCAATTGAAGAAGCCTGTTATGCTCAGGTATGTAACACAATTAAGCAAAAAAAACCCCAAACCCCTCAGTTAAAAATTGCATTGAAAATCATACAGAAACGCAGCTCGAAAGTAATTTATATTTTCTCCCAGCAGCATTTCAGATAACAAATTTAACCCTTTCTCTTAGCCATTTCTATTTTTTTTAACATGGAAATCTTAAAGAAGGAAGTGGAGTTTAAGACAAAATCATCCCTTTGTATAGGGCTATTTAGGGAGGGGAAATTGGACATAGAGCCAGATCTTCAGATGGTGTAAATTGGCGGCGTATCCTTGTTGACTTCAGTGGAGATATACTGATATATAATGCCTGAGGATCTGGTCCATAAACTAGAGAGATTCTGCCTTGCTGCCTACACAGAGGGAAGAGATTCCCTGCATGTTTTACCCCAACCCCTTAAAAAGAGTGGTAAATAATTAAGTAAGAATAGAGCCATTATATTACATCTGTATTTGGCATTGGTATGACCCCTACTGTAATACTGTGTTCAGTTCTAGTTTCCACACTTCAAGAAAGATGTTGAAAAATTGGAGAGGGTTCAGATAAGAGCCACAAGAATGATTAAATTATTGGAAAATATGTCTTACAGTGAAAGATTTTAGGAGCTCAATCTGTTTAGTGTATCAAAGAGAAGGTTAAGGGGTGACTTGATCCAAGTCTGTAAGTATCTCAATGGGAACTGAAATTTGATAATAGAGGGCTCTTCAGTCTAGGTATAATAGGAACCCGTGGCTGGAAGTTGAAGCTAGACAAATGCGAACTAAAAATATGATGCAGTTGTTTAACAGGAGGGTAATTAATCATTGAAAAAACTGTGTTGTGATGGATTCTTCATCACAGGAAATTTTAAAATCAGGATTGGCTGCTTTAGATCAAGTACAGCTATTGAACTTGAAACATGGAAGTCCTATTGCTCTGTTATGCAGGAGGTCAGACTATGAAATTTGTGAGTAGAAGTGCATGGTTAGAAGTAAGCGTACAGTGCATGGTTAGTTTTATGTAGTTTTAATTTTGTAGGTGTGAACAGGGTTTCAAACTAAAGAGTAAACTTTTGATGACGACCTAAAGAGATATGAGGATTGATCAATTAGACAGTTGAACAAGAGTCTGTTTTGTTATCTGACTACTCTATTTGAGGAATTTTTAATATGTCCATCACTTCATTATTTTTTTAATCCCTTCAAACCATTGCCATATCCCTTCCAAAGGAGGTATTTACATGTTACATAAGGAAATACTGCAGGCACTATAGCTGATCGTTCAAGAACCTGTGAGAATTTTAACTCTCCCCTACCCCCCACCAGTAGTTCTGGGTGCATCCACTGTCAGCCGTGTTAAACCGCCTGGGAAAGTATAACTGGGTGTAAAATAATGAAGTTTTTATGGTCTTCTTATTTTACAGCTATAATGATAAAATGTTCTTTCTGTACTAAAAGAAGTGTGTTTAATAATTATCTTAATATCCAGAAGGCCAGATCTCCAACTGGTATAAGTCAGCATGGCTGAAGTAACTTCTGTGGAGTGATACTGATTTATACCAGCTGAAGATCTGGCCCACAGGCTGTAAATCAGTTGTGTGTAGAGTGTTTTCACACTCTTTTGTAATTTCTGTATTACACTATAGTCTAGGGTTACCATACGTCCGGATTTTCCCGGACATGTCCGACTTTTTGGTCCTCAAATCCCCGTCTGGGAGGAATTTCGAAAAAGCAGGACATGTCCGGGAAAATAGGGAGGCATGGTAAGGGGACCACCTCCTCCCCGGGCTCCAACTTTCCGGGGCCAGGCAGCGGCTGTTCGTTCTCCTCACCTGGGCAGCCGGACTCGGGAGCAGCCGCTGCTGCAGCTCCCACTTCCGCGGGGGGAAGCGGCCAAGCATGTGGTGCTCCGGCTGTGGCGCCCGGGGCGTGAACCCCCTGAGCCCGTGCCTGCTGCGGGGACCCAGCTGGTGCAATCCTGCGGGCGACCCCGGAGTGGGGGCAGCAGGCCCCAGGCCCCCCGTCCCGCTCGGGTCCTGCAGGGGAACGAACGGGGCTGCCGATGCCTCTGCCCTGGGGCCGCCCGCGGGATTGCATCAGCTGGGCAGCCAGCCCAGATGCGACTTGCCTGGGGCTGGGCGCAGCGTGCGCGCTGCTGGGTCCCCGCAACAGGCCCAGGCTCGGGGGGTTCGGGCCCGGGCGCTAGAGCCGCAGCCACCGAGCTTGGCCATCGGCCGCTTCCTCCCCTGCAGCAGTGGGAACTGCATCAGCGGCTGCTCCCGAGTCCGGCTGCCCAGGTGGAGAGAAGGAATAGCCACCGTCTGGCCCCGCGGGCTGCCCCCCTACTCTCCCTCCAGGTACTCACCCTGGGACCGCGCTCCCTCTGTGTCTCCGGGGCCTCCCTCTGCCGCTGTTTCTCCCCCACCCCCTCTGGTCACCCTGGGGGCGGAGTTGGGTGGGGACTTTGGAGAAGGGGCGGAGTTGGGTTGGGGCTGGGGCGGGGAAGGGGTGGAGTTGGAGCGGGGCCGGGGCCCCCTTGGAGTGTCCTCTTTTTGCAGGACTGAAATATGGTAACCCTACTATAGTCTGCAGATCGCATCCATTAAAGAAAGGTGACAATATACCTTATTTTTTAAATTTTGGTATTAATAATACAAAGTTAATCTGTTCTTTGTAGACTATTCCAACAAAAGACAGAATTGAAGGTCTTCTTGCTTTTAAAGAAAAGAGGCCCCCTCGCTACAAGGGAGAATAGGAGAAACTGATGCCTTGAAAATACAAATGAGATAAACATGGCTGGAAGGACCTTTCAGCTGCACTTTGCCTCAGCGCATGGAGTATCACAACCACCAAAGTAAAAGCAAACTCTACCTACATTACAACATCTGGAATGTGTCCAGACATGTGCCTGGCCCAAGAATATGTATCAAGTCATACTCAGCATGGTTTATGAAGGTTGCTCTGTATATTTGCAAGGTCACAGGTTCATAAGCATTTCTTTTATTTCATATGTATGAAACTAACCATACCACAATTTAAAAAAAAAGTAAATTCTTTTAATAGACAAAGCCTATAAAGTAATATGGAATGTTTGTCTGTTGTTCCATTTTATCAAAATAAGTGATTTCTATGCACCAAAAATGTGAAATTATACCAAATATGATTTCTAAATGATTCACTATCTATTCTAGCTGAATATGTAAATTATTAATAAAGTTAGTGGAAATCAGAAGAATGATTGTTTGGAAGATTATAAACTTTATTTACTTGTCTCATACTGTAATAAGTAAGATTAACTTCATTTTGAGACTACTGTACAGTGGTGTTCTGTATTACTCTATGTTCATGTTCAGCCTTCAGTCACACAAGGCTATATGGTAAACCTTGCCTCTCATCCCAGATTCCTCCAAAACATCATCTCACTAACACTATTTACGAGGGAGTAACTTTTAATTCACTTGCCCCATTTCTTTTTGTTTTTTATTTCCAGGCTGTATTAAACTTTTTATTGTGGAGCTGTGGTTAAACACATTCTTAAAGCTAGAAAGTTTCCTTATGCCCCAAAATACTGGATCTTGTGTGTGACCATTTTTCAGGTTCTAATAATACTGTACTTATATACAGCTGCTCTGAATTGAAATGCTCTTTTCCTTTGTTGGAACATAAACCTCTGGGCTTTGAAGTGAAGAAACTACTGTACTATGTGTGTGGAGATGCCATGGAAAGTGGCCTCTTTAAAATATTCTATCAACTTACTGGTAAGTAAATGTGGCTTAGCAATCAGATGTTAACTTATTTATATGGAAACAACCTCCTTCATGTTTGATTTGCATTGTCTTTATGAAACTTCTGCATGCACTGCTGTTTCTGCAACATTAGCTATGGTCACTCTCCAGAACTATGGTGATATAGCAGCTGATCAACATGAAATGACAAGAACTCATTAAAATTCATATTTAGCCATATCTTTACATGTAAATTGATTATATCTGGTGGACCACGCACTTTACTGAGTGATAAACTTGCTGAGTTGATCATTTCATGCATGATAATTTGCAAATAAAGCACTGGTGCTTGTTTTTATAGTCATATAAAGCCTTTAAGGTCATTTTCTCATATTTTCAAAATGCTAAAATGTCATTTTCATTTTTACTGAGTATTAAATAATTATGTTAATGGGAGAAAAAATATTAAGTCTATGCTGAATGGTTTGTGTCTCATAACTATGATATATAGTCTGGTTATTGAGCTTCCTTTAGTTTTCTAATAAGCACTGATTAAATAACTTCAGTACATGTATATGAAAACATTTTATTGACTTGAAATACTATGGCAGAAAAAATAGTCTGCTCAACCCACTGTGTAAATTCTTGATTTAAGCTAGGAGTTTTGATTTAAGTAAAATATTTTGCTATCGCAATAGTTACAACATTCCTTTTTCTCAGGGAAAGATGTGGCCATGCTGTGGTATTTTGAGGTCCTTCTCTTGAAGTCAGCAGTTTGAATAATATTGCAGAGTATAAGATGGAGACTTTTTTCCAAAGTACTTGTAAGTCATGATACTGGAATAGTTTTGAGGGGAAATTATTCAGCAAAAGATATACAAGAGACCTCTGCGTATGTATAAATTATAAGTGAAATAACATCATGATGACTTCATCTTAATTAATTAATGTCAATATTAGAATTCTGCTTCCTGAATTGGGGTACTGGGGCAAAAAATTCTCTCACTAGTCTGACCTCTGCTCATTATACTTGCTATCTGTCACTCCTTCAAATACTGGGGTTTAGCTCTGTCAGTTTCTGGCAGAATTCTGTCTTCCTGTACATACACTCTGTCTCTCCTTTTTTAGCTGCAGAATAAGTGCCTTATATACACTCTTTAGCTTTCCTGAAAGATTGTTCCATGGGTCGGGGGGGGGGGGGGGGTTTGGCGAGGGCATAAGCAGCTTTCATCCTCTCTCTTTCTCACCAAACTCATATTTATAATATTTCAGAAGCAGGCTTGAGCTTGGGTGGTTAGCTTGAGTCTCCGCCAGTGCTGCAATGTCCACACAGCTATTTTTAGCATGTTAGCTTCAGTCCTGCTAGCATGAGTCTGTCTGCCTGAGCTGGGAGGCCTGCTCCCAGCTGCAGTGTAAACATACCCTATTTTGCTGCTGGTCTTACTAGATAATCATAATGGTCCATTCTAGCCTTAAAATCCATGAATGAATTAATCTTAAAGCACTGACTTTTCTCAATTACTATTCTACTAACATCTTTTCTAATAACCTTTATTGACTCGCTGGGTAAAAATTTCAAAAGTGTCTACATGACTTAAATCACTCTGTTGCTTTACAATTTTTTCCCCACTGTCAAAATGTTTCAGATTCTGTTGAGATTAATGAGCTAGTTAAAGATCACTTTGAATGTGTTGTTTTATGGAGCATTTCTGTGTGGTCTGTGTTTCTATCAAATCTAGTAAAAAGTCAGTCAGTCTTCAAGCGATGATACTTGTTCATAGTTCTACTCCAGGATTCTTACTGTAGCCTGTCCAGAGGCGCTCTTAACCAACTGCACTCAAAATAATAAGCACTACTATACATCATGCACAGCCACTTCTTATTTTTGTTTGTAAGATGTTTTTTTGCTGTACATTCACCCATTATCAAATCTGTTGTGCTTTCATTTCTTTCTTTGGGGCAGTAAGCCTGAATCTCTCAAACATTACACCTAATAACACCATCAACAAGACACAGGGGTACACCATATAATGGGAATGATAAAGTTACTATATGGGGGAGGGTGAGTGATGATATGTTTGTTTCAAGGTGTGCTTGTCATACATACTTTTACCAATAATTTTAAAAAAAGACGGCTACCCCTAAACAATCAGAAGAGATAGAATAATAAGCAGATAAACCAAATGAGAGGTATGTTTAGCTAAACAGTAACAAAAAGTAAAAAGTCATGAGTCTCCTCCATGCATGACTCTCTTAAAGGACTCCTTTTTCGTCTTGTACATTTTACTGGGTTTTGGTTTTGTTTGTTTGGACATGTATTATCTTCTAGGTGCACAGGTACCATGGTGATGGGTGTGATATGAGAACCTGAAGAGATTAGTTTAATCACCGTTAACACAAAACTTTAAAAAAGCGTTAATAGGATAGTTTTAACAAATTCACAAAAATGGTTTATTTATTTTCTACAGAAAGACTGAATCTGAAACTATCAGTTTATATATATATATATATATATATATATATATATATATATATATATATATATATATATATACTACTACTATACTAT